CTTCCTCTGAGAGAATCCTTGTTTATCCATACATGGAAAATCTGAGTGTTGCATATCGACTAAGAGGTAATTTATACTTAGTTTCTCTATAACTCTTCAACCAAATAACAGAATTGTGTAATGTGTTTGTGCATGTGACATTGTAGACTTGAAAGCGGGAGAGGAAGGGTTAGACTGGCCAACAAGGAAGCGTGTAGCTTTCGGATCAGCTCACGGTTTAGAGTATCTACACGAACATTGTAACCCTAAGATCATACACCGTGATCTCAAGGCAGCAAACATACTTTTAGACAACAACTTTGAGCCAGTTCTTGGGGATTTCGGTTTAGCTAAGCTAGTGGACACATCATTGACTCATGTCACAACGCAAGTCCGTGGCACAATGGGTCACATCGCACCAGAGTATCTCTGCACAGGAAAATCATCTGAGAAAACTGATGTTTTTGGTTACGGTATAACACTTCTTGAGCTCGTTACTGGTCAGCGCGCAATCGATTTTTCACGCTTGGAAGAAGAGGAAAATATTCTATTGCTTGATCATGTAAGACTTGACTTGACTTCTCTTACAAAAGGTTTCTTTTCTGTATATATGGAAAAGACTGAAGCTAATCTTTTTCTTTGGTATGAAACAGATAAAGAAGTTGCTTAGAGAAGAGAGACTTAGAGACATTGTCGACAGCAACTTGACTACATATGATTCAAAAGAAGTTGAAACCATAGTCCAAGTGGCTCTTCTCTGCACACAAGGCGCACCAGAAGATAGACCAGCGATGTCTGAAGTTGTCAAAATGCTTCAAGGGACCGGTGGTTTGGCTGAGAAATGGACTGAATGGGAACAGCTTGAAGAAGTGAGGAACAAAGAAGCGTTATTGCTTCCGACTTTGCCTGCTACTTGGGATGAAGAAGAAACCACCGTTGATCAAGAATCCATCCGATTATCAACAGCAAGATGAAGGAGAAACAAAGATAGAGATCTTTGAAAACAAACCTGCATTAGCATTACAAAAGAAAAACTTAGAAAAAAAGTATTTAAAGCTGCTAATTGTATCGAAACGGCTGGGAGGGAAAGCGAAGAAAAACACAACCTTAATTTGTGTAATAGAACGTGTGATATACACAGTAACGTATAACTAGTTGTGTTTTGTATATATGAATGTGGTTAATGTAGTAAAATAATGATGATCATGGTTGTTTCGTTATAGAGACAGACAGACAATGAATCAATATAGTGGAATTCTCTTAAATACATATACTTTAACTCTGTTTTTAGTGCTTTCTTTTGGTGGTTTTTTGCTCTGTTTTTTTTTCCTTCCAAAAATTAGGTTACGACGTCGTCGCGTGTAAATAAAGTAAGTAGAAATAATAGAATTGTGATCTCAGACCTCGAAATTTGATTGTTTTCTCAATTTGATCGTCAACTTTGTTTTTATACATTTTCCCCCAAAATATGACATTGATTGATAAATTACAGTAAAGGCTAAAAACTAACAAGAAACAACGTCATGGTTTTAGCTACGCTAATGTTGACTATAGATAATAAATGGTTTATTCCACTAACTAATCTCATGGAATTGATTAGTCAAGTGATTTTTATTGGAAGGGTTCTCTTAATATAAAACAGTGACAGAAGAAAAGAAAACAAATCTATCTCTCTGGCTTACATTTTTTCCTTTGTGAAGACATGAATTCAGAATTAATACATAACAAGAGAACTTTCATGGATTAGGAAATTATTCTTAAACTGTGGATCTCTGTGATGTTAGAAACAAAAGACAAATTAAAATACTATATATTGTGTAGTAGTACTTTGTGTAGCGTTTAATGAAGAAGAACTGGGGACCGGGAGAGACGTAAGCGGTCAGTGAAAAGGAGGTCTCCTTTTCTCTCTAAATAAACTCCCTCGTAAACCGGGCTGTTTTTCTCGGTTCTCGTTCAGCTGCTTGGTTTCCGCTGACACCGACATGTCCGGTTCCCAGGTAACTTTCTTCTCCACCGTCCGATTCAAACTACGAATCAACGATTCAGATCGTTTCTTTCCTTTTCTATCTCTTTGGTTTCTTGTGACGTGTTCTTCAGTATTTCTCCTGAGCCCTCTCAGACGTACCCCTAAATAAACCCAATTGGTCTCTCATCAAAAACTTCACCCCACACAAATTATATTTCGAATATGCATGCAATCAATAGGGCAGAAAACGTTACAAGGTACATGTGTCTGTCTCTACGGTCTACCATATATCTTTTCATGATTTGCAGATTTGCATGTTGAAAGATAAAAAAAAAAGCACTAAATGAACCAATGGGATCGATGATGATTCAAAATAGTAGGAAGATTAGTTAATTACATGATTTTACACAAAACTCTCGTGAAAACCTATACCATCGCAATATATGCATAGGTTATAGGTCAAAGAACCTCAGAAACGTAAACGAAAACAACGTAAACTACTCTAATTAATTATCAGTCGACAAAAAAAAAAAAAAAAAAAAAAACTCTAATTAATTATGAATTAATTATGACTAAAAAAGACAAAAAAGTATGTACATTAGTAAGCTGTTGAGGTGGAGCCAAGAGTAATAATAAGGTAATAATAATAAATCAGGACCAAGGTAGTACTTGTCTTGCATTCAATACCATTAGACTTATGCACATTTTACCGTTATCTATCTATGTATATCTCCTTTAAAAAAAGTGAGTTTTAGGCATTGAAGTTCAGAAAAAATGATCCTATATCAATATCATGTAACTTTTTTTTGTTTCGATCTACAAATAACAACAAAATTGTTCAAAACTATGCGATTTTTGATTACTTTTGTATATATGGCAAGAATATGCTCTCCCAACGTAACATTGATATAAAAGTATATTACAAAACATGTGCGCAGCAGATATAGTTTTAATTTGGAGACTTGACAGAGATTTTAAATATGAGGAAGATTACTGTTGGCCTCGGAAATGACTGATATTAAATATACACGAGAAACGATTAAAAGACATTTTTTTTTTTTTGAAAAGTGGAGATTGAATTGAATCATGGAAATGGTTTCAACTTTGGATGTACTAACTCGGAGTATGTCGGATTTTACCACTCTCGATTACACTGTCAATTTCTATTTTAGGTAACCCTACACACACCAAATAAAGACAGTAACCAAAATTAACCTAAAAAACCTATCAAACCCAAATTACTAAATCAATGTAAAGAAAATTCAAAAGAAAAATCTAGGGCTTAGATCTTTTGTCCTCTCTATAAATAGAAGAACCTGCTTTGGTCTCTTCTGTCACATGCTTCTTTCTTCGTCTTCTTCTTACATAAAGTTGCTTAGTATTGTCGTCTTCATCTTCTTCTTATTGTGAAGCTACCGATTTAGGGTTTAGAGGAATGTTGTTTGGCTCGAGGTCATCAAGAGTAATTCTATAACCAAACTCCAAAGCTCTAGATGATTCTCGGACCAGGCTTCATTCCCCTCAACCTATTTTATCGCATTTTTTTCCTCAAAATCTTTCTTTATCACTTTCTCACGCCATCGGAGACCTATGCTTTAGAAGCTTTTTGGTCCATCTCGAATCATTCTATTGACCATGTTCCCTAGAATATCCACTATTTGTTTCCTTTATGTTTCACTGTTCCCCTTTTCTTTACTTTGAAGAGTTTCGAACTTTTTTTTTTCTGTTGTAGAGTTTGCAGCCGTCCTTTATACTCGAAAACAAAACAACGAAATCTGAATCTTTGCATGAAAATCTTGTTTTTATACACTTTCAGAGGTATTTTCTTGTTTTACTTCTTTCTAACATCTGATGTAAGTAAGATTGAGGGGGTATGTACTAATGTACAACCTCTCGTTTCACCAATTGTTCCCTTTTCACATCTTTGAGTTCCGTTTATGGTTTTTTTTTTCCAACTTTTGATAAGTAAGACCATTGATCTATTGTATATCGTACAGTTTAACTGAGGTGGAAAAAAAAGAGAAAACAAGGGTTAAACCAAAGAGCAAAAGAAACCTTTGCACGTGAAAGATATATATGGAAAGGATGGTTTTCCTCAGAATATAAATATAAGTCTAGTCAAGTTGAAATGCTATCACACGTAACTGGAAACAATCATTTGTGGGGTGTTACTTTACATGCATATAACATCTTGTCATTTTAAAAACATTAGACAAAATTTAATTCTTAGATGGTGATTGATTGTTATTTTTCATGAAAAGAGCATGTAAGAAAGAGAGGGCGAGATTGGACGTGATTTGCGAGGATTTATATGAAATAATGCCTTACTTTCTTCTCGTATGTTAATTAGTTTAGATAGACTCGGGCAGTAAATTATAGTTTGAAAAAGTTGGTAAGCCTTTTTTGTATGAACAAAACTATATTATTGAGTTTTTTTTTTTTTTTTGTATGAGCAAAACTATATTAGTTTTTTTTTTGTGTGTGTGTACAGTTTCAAATTGTATGAATAGAAAATCAAAAATATATTACTGAGTTTTGTTTTTTCATGAAGACCTTTTGTTTTTTTTTTTGGTAAAAGGGTTCCTTCCATGATGATTTGTAAAATTGTTTTTAACATCCCATGAAGACTTAATTACAAGAACGATATAAAAATAAAATTGCAAAAAGGTTTCTCAGTCATTTAGTTAAAAAGAACATCTATTAAGGAAAGTAAAACGGAGTTTACAAACGTCGTTTAACAAAACGGTGTCGTTTTGTTCGCTGTCTGACGAACAACCGTTGCTTTTCAGACACGAAAGCAAACTATAATATCGGTTATTTTACTTCGTCCCTTTCTTCTGTTATGGTTTTGATTTGAGAGGGAAATTAAGAGATAGAGAATTATCTCTTCTTCTCTTAGAAGACAAGAACGAGACAAAATTGATTTATATATAAAACAATTATGGACTAAACTACTGAAACGAAACGTTGCAACCCTTAACATACAAGAAACTCAATCATCGACTAACGTCTTCTTCATTCTTCTTCGTGTTTTTTTTTTTCTCTTTTCTTTTTCATGGATCCCGAGAACGTAGTACGTAATCTTCAATCTCTGAGAAGATTGTACAGTCTTCTCGAATCAAATGCAAAAAATGCATATGTTCCCGAGTCATATAAGGTAAGGTTTAGTTTCTCTTTCAATTCTTCTCTGAATCCTATATTTTCTAGTATCATCATTATGATTCTTCCATTTACAGATAAATGAGAACACTCAGTTTCTGTTAAAGAGGTTACTCGATTTTGCCTCCCAATCCAAGGTAATCTAGTTATTATGTCGAATAATTTTTATGTATTGATCAACCTGTTTTATATATGAAATTTCGTGTTCTTGTTTCTGAATTTTGGTTAAGTAAAATCCTAAATTTTTTTACAGATAATTGCAACACGGTTAGGTTTGTTTCCTAGAACGGATTTGCACTTTCTAAAACCGCCGAATGTGGCGGATCCCTCTGTGACGGCGCCACCTGCAATGTTGTTTCAGATCAATGGTTCTCAAAATATGCAACGTGTTAAACTATTGGAGGCGAAAGGATCGTTGAAGCAAGATCTGAGAGTCAATCAGATTCAAAGCAATTCTAGTAAGGATGGTTTTAAAAAAGAAGTCGCTGATGCTATCGAACAAATCGATACACAGCTCTCAGCTTTGAGTTTTGTTTCTGGTCGTGTGGGCTCTGATGATAGACAAAACATTCAAGCTTCTATGTCTAGTGGTGAAGAGGTAACACACTTCGTTCTTTTTCTGTCTACAAGTAATAGTCGAAGCCATGATGATCTAACTTTGTCATATAATGATCAGTTTGTCCAGGTCACGTCACGACCGCTACCATTAACTCCTTTTGTTGTGAGTTCCGTTGATTTCAAGAAGCCAAGTCAAAGTAACAAAATGTCACAAAAGATGACTAGTATTAAACCAACGTTGATGGATCAAGAAACTGAATCGTTGGACGATGATTCTGTTGAATCAGAACGTGAACAAACACCGTCTGGGACAAGTTCGGCGTTGGAAGACGATGACGTTTCAGCTGACCAAGAATCAGATGGGGAAACAGGGTCAAGCTCTGGCTCAGACTGGGAAACTCAAGCAGAGAGTGACTCTGAGTATGAGTCAGAATCATTATATCCACCACAGAGTGATGATGAATCTTCCTCTGAAGTCAGCGCTTCTCCTCCGCCTAAAAACAGAGACACTCCAAAACAGAGGGGAAATGTAATGGGGCGGTTTAAAAGATTAAAGAATAAGATAGGACAAGTATTCCACCATCACCACCACCACCACCACCATCATCATCACCACGACAAAAACAAGCCATCAGCTTCGACGACTTTGCAGAGTGCATTTCACCAAAAGCACATAGAGAAATCAGATGAGAAGAGACGGGCGACGTCAAAAACTAGAGGTCTTACTACACATAAGCAGCATAGAGGCCTTACTACACATTCGCTAATGGAAGTATGGAAGAGACATAGAAAGCACTCGAAGAAACAAAAGCATGATCTGCTGCAGACGCATGCCAAAACGCAATGGTTGAAAAACTTGAAGAAGCGTCACGGTGGAGGTGTGAAGATTCCCAAAAGAGGACGTATGAAGTTGGGAAAAACACATTTTTTGACCAAAAATATTCAAGAACATGATGAAAACTAGTTTCGGTTATAACAGAGCAAAACAACTGTAAATTACTCAAGCTGAATGCTTCATGTCTACTAAATCTTTTGTTTTATCTTTAACAAACATTATTAAGAGAAAAATCACTTAACTCTTCCACAAGAGAGGAAGTATCATCACTGCACATCTCACACTCCTTATCATGCCAAGTGTTACCATACGTGCAGCGATCACAATACCAGAAAGGACCAGCCCCGCCGTTGTATGACATCACCTTCACATCGACCAAACCATCTTGCAAAGTTTTGATGAAATGGAAAAAGTAGTTACCGATGTTGCTTGTGGCCGTTGGTATCGTATGCCTGAAGAAACTACACTCTTCATAAGTAGCTACACCGAGGATGATATCTTTTTGCTCTTGTAAAGTGTTTGAGTAACTCTGGAGAGCTGTGGTCGCATTTCCTTGCAGATACCGTAGATACTCCTTCTTCGAGTTCTCATACTCTGTGTGGAAATAGTCATACACACAACACCATTTAAGTACTCTTCTGCACTGAACAATCAGCATTAGTCCCTCTCTTATTATCATAATGTCTTGCTCCTTCAAGTCACTTGGTTTCTTGATGTTGGATTCCTCAAAAGCTTCTAGATCGGATTTGGCTTGCTCCAGTAAATTCTTACACACCATCCAGCGATCCTCACATGAAATCCCCACCTTTTTTTTAACACATAATCCGGAGAGTTTTGATTCACTCTTGTGGGCTTCCTCTGACCGCAAACATCTTGAACAGAAACGAAGCCTAAAGCAAGAAAACACAAAAAGAGTAAGATTAATACTTAAATAGAGAAATCTAAGTCTCGGTAATCTGCAGCAACAAAAAAACAGATAATAATAATAATTTATTATCATGAGGGTGAAACCTGCAAACACAAGTCAGGTAGTGGGGCATTTTTGTATCAGACTCCACAGGACAAAGGCAATGAGGACAAGTCACTGTCTTGGCATAGGTGGGGGAAAGGCTAAATGATTCATCTGAGAATTTCGTTGTGTCCATAGACAACCAATCAGAGGCGTTGTTGCAGGTCACTGGTCTGTGTGACTCAAGTCTGCATCTCCAACAGAAGATATGACCACAGAGACACACCACGTTTAGACTATACTCATCATCATCATCATCATGATTCTCCTGATGAAACTCAATGAGGTAATTGCAATCCTGTGCAGGACACTGTTTGATCATCAAGACATTGTTTCCCTCAATGTAAGATCTCAGAATGTACCTCTCGTACATCTCTTGATCACGTACAGTTAGTTTCTCGATCGTGTCCGGTCCAATCGCAGCTTGACAATCTTGCTCAGGACAAGAGATTGCAGTTTGGATTTTCTCCACTGAGTAATAGTTCTTCTCAAGATACTCTGTCCAGTATGTTGTGCCGAACTTGTGAGAGCAGAAAGGTGTGGAGATCAAACCATCATCATCATCATCGGGATTATCCTCATCATCATCATCATCATCATCATCATCATCAAACTCATACACATCTGCCTCAAAGCTAATCTCGCTAGATGAATCTAGAATGGTATCAAATACAGCTGGTTTCAGACCAGAATCCATCAATGATTTCTCCTTGTTTTCACCCAAACGCTCTGAAACACGAAGCGAGTCCCATCGGAGAAACATGAGGAGTACGGTCGCATCGGAATTTGATATCAAGAAGATGTCGGAGATGTCATCGATCTGTTTCTTCATCTTTTCGCTAACTTCATCTCTCGTTAGAACAGAGTAGGGTCTCTTCCGATCGTAATCCATTTGTTATCCTGAAATTGACACAAATCAGAAAGACAAAACCAAATCGACAAAAGTTAACGAAGAGATAAAGATAAACATGTAAGGGAAAGGGTTCAAGGCTTACTGGTGTAGCTTGCGTCTGAAACAACAAAATCTAATCCAAGGTGAGGACTGAGGAGAGTTATCGTCTTTTTACTGACTCTTTCTAGGTTTTGCCTCGTTTCTTCACTCTCTCCTTTGGAAATATCGGAGTTAGAGCAACATTATCAATAGAATCCTAGGGATAATAAGATTTACACTTGAGGGTATCTTATTTAAGTTATTCTGTTTTTGCTTATCGGTACATTGTTGATATATATGACTTTTAATTCAGAATTTTGGCCCATTGAACCTTAATCTTGCTTAAATAATGGTAATCTATATTAGTTACAGTATCCAAAAATATTATGTTGTATATTCATTTTTTTTCTTTTGAACAGCCTATAAATTAATTCAACACCATTTTAATGTCATAATTTAAAGTCATGCATAATAACACCATTCTAAATTGACAAAAAAAAAATCCTAATTTAGGTCATCAGTTGATACATAATTAAAAATGCTTGATAAAATATCATGTAAACATTTACTAAATAGTTATGTATCACCAAATAGACATTTGGAGCAAAATTTAATTTTTAGTATATGTATTTGAAAATTATTAATATTTTTTTTTCTCTTTTCAAAATAAACAAAAAGATGAAAAAAATATATTTATTAGAAAGAAAATAAATCAAACTTATGGTGCTTTAGAGGTTAAAAACTTATCCAGTACTTGAAGACCAAATTTCTAGTTTTCCTTCTAGGATTTTAATTATATAGTATGTCTTTTTACTATTTCAATCATGATTTTAGGTCAAAAATAAAACTTTTGACACAAAATAGACATATGGTTGAAATAAATTTTAGGCGCGAATTTAGATTTTACAAACCTAAATAATGTTTAGTAACGTTGAATCTTTACTAAGTGTATATATAGTCAAAAACTTATCATGATATTAAGAGAAAGTCTTTAGAATATTATTTATATGATTTTAATAACGATGTTTAAATATAAATGTTTTAATGTCAAAAACATGATGTTTCATAAATTTTGAAGGTTAGCTTACATTTTAACTAGAAATTTTTGCTTATTATATATATATATATATATTTTAAATGGAACAATGTAATTCTTGAAAGAAAAATTTATCCATTTTGAGTAAATTCATATATGGTCAGTGTCGTAATTGTACTTCGGTACATGAAGTTGTTTGATCTCGAGATAAGATTTCATAACATAATTCTCGTACATCTCTATATCATGTACGCCTAGTTTCTCAATCGTTTGTTTTTCTACCGCAGCTCTACAATCTTGGTTAGGACATGAGATTATGGTTAGATTTTCTTTTAGAGAGTAGAAATTTTTCTCCAGATACTCTCTCCAACAACTTTTACAAAACTTGTGAGAACAAAAGGGCGTAGAGATAAAACGATGATCATCATCTTCATCTTCAACATATTCAACTTCGCCATCACTCACACCCTCACCCACACCTTCAACATCTTCAACAGCATCTTCATCTTCAACATTTTCAACCTCACCTTCACCTTCACCTTCTCCCTGATCAGCCTCTCCCTCGACAACACTCTCGTCCTCGACCGCACCCTCACCCTTTCCCTCACCTTCATCCTTGTACTCACCCTCTCCTTCACCCTCATCATAATCCTCCTCCTCCTCATCATCATCATCATCATCATCACTATCATCATCATCATCATCATCAAACACATTAAAATCATATGCAGTCTTAGAACAAATACCACAACATGAATCAGATAAATCTTGATTCGGATCAATCACAACTGGTTCTAAACCAAATTCCGCCAAGAATTCATCCCCTTTTTCAGCCAAACATTGTGTAACACGTTTCCAGTCCCATCCGAGATGCATGAGGATTACGGCCGGTTCGTTTTTCCGTAAGCATAACGTAAAGGATATGTCATCGATTAGGTTCTTCATCTCTTCCTTAACTTCATCTCTCGAGTATGGTGTTTGTTGATCGTTTTCCATTGTTTTCTTGACAATAAAAAAAATTGGAAAGACAAATCAATAAATTGTTAGAAAGAGAAACATAAATTTGTAAAGAATATGGTTAAGGCTTAGTAGCTTGCAGCTTATACAATAAAATTGAATCGAAGGTGAAGAAAATTTGCACTCTCTCCTCTTATGAAATATCGAGTTACAAACTTCTTATGTTTGTGCTATTATTTATAGTCAGATTAGACCTTCATCTTGCTACAAATGGTGATTTATATTAACTACAACATCCAATAAAATTTATGTTTAGCCTCTAGGTTGATTCATTACTTTTTGGAAAGAACCTCTAAAAACTTTATTAAATTCAGCATTATGTTTCCCAACATCTGTTGCAAATTAAATTTGATAGAAGACATTATTTTTTTCAAAAAAGAGGCAAGAACATAAATAATCTAGTCTAAAAAATGGATATATGTCTATATGTTTTAAATTAAAAAATAATCTATATAAACTTATAGAGGAAAATAATTATAATAAAAACCTAATACCTTTAAAGAAAAGAGAATTATACAAACTTAGGTTGCAAATTTCGTGTTTCCTAAATCTTTTGTTTATATTTAAGAAACTAAAGTATGATATGGATTCGACTGAGCAGTTAAACTAAAATAGCTCATTATTTTTGCCAAATCCCCTATTGTTGGATTCATTATTTAATAATGTCTTCTCAATTCTATTCTTATTGAGAATCTACTTCACATATTATATAATTTACTGAATCAAAAGCCTATAAAAGTAATTAGATGATTATCGGCTATGTGAAGTAAACAATAAAAAAAATTGAAACGAATGTGATGACGTCTTCAGAATTGATACCGTAAAAAGTATATTAGTTATTATAAAATCGTAATGGCAAGACCTTTGAATTATTAGAATATCTACTTAAAAAACACCACTTCATATTAAAACACCAATTAAAATCTATAATCCAGCAAAACAATAAAAATTCTGTGTTCATTAACTAAGAGATAAATCAGTTAACTCGGCGGGAGCTGCAATATCATCACGGCACATCTGACAATCTTTATGGAACCAAGTGTTTCCAAATGTGCAGCGATCGCAGAGCCAGAAAAGACCGCCAAAGTCGTCATAAGACTTCACCTTGACTTCGTCCAAACCATCTTGTAAAGTCTTGATGAAATGGTAAAAATAATTACCAATGTTGCTTGTATCGATCGATACCTTATGCTTCACGCAACAAAACTCCTCAGAAGTATCTGACAAGGCTCTTTCTGTTTCTTCCTTGAGGATATCTGAGAAACTCTGGACAAGTGAAGTGGCGTTTGCTTGCAGGAACCGTAGGTACTCCCTCTTCGAGAGCTCATACTCAGCGTGGAAATAGTCATACACGCTGCTCCATTGAATGACTTGTCTACATTGAACGATCAACATCAATCCCTTTCTTATAATCGTAATGTCTTTCTCGTTCAAATGACTCGGTTTCATCATGTTGGATTCCTCGAATGCTGCTAGATCAGATTTAGCTTGCTTCACTAAAATCTCACTCGCCTTCCAGCGTTCCACACAAGAATCCTCCACTTCTGCTCTTTTCTCGGGTGTCTTCTTCGGTACATTACAGAGTTTGTATAGTCCTGACTCCATTCTGTGGTCTTTCTCTGACTGCCTACACTTCCAGCAGAAACGACCGCTAAAAAATAATTATACAAAAAAAGAAACACAAATGAGTATGATCAATACTTCAACATAGAGAAATCTAATAATCAGAGATCTGCAAAATAGGAGTATTTTTTACCTGCAGGTACAAGTCACGATCAGGAAGTATTGTTTACCATACAGGTTCATAGCACGATTACAATGAGGGCAGCAAGTCTTTGTGCTGGTTTTGATCGACCTGAAAGGGCGAGTCAGCTCTGTGCTAGTTTTGGTCGATAAGATCTTCAAATCTTTAGACAACCAATCAGAAGCGTTGTTGCAGGTCACTGGTCTGTGTGAGTCAAGCATGCATCTCCAACAGAAGATATGACCACAGAGACACACCACGTTTAAGCTACAATCTTCCGCATCATCATCATCATCATCATTGTTGTCCTGATGAAACACAATAAAGTAATTGCAATCCTGTGCAGGACACTGTTTGATCTCCAATACCTTGTTTCCCTCAAGGTAAGATCTCATAACATAACTCTCGTACATATCTTGGTCGGGTACGGTTAGGTTCTCAATCGTGTCCGGTCCAACCGCAGCTCGGCAAGCAGGAGGAGGACAAGAGATTGCAGTTTGGTTTTTCTCAACAGAATAAAAATCCTTGTTAAGATAGTTGCTCCAACAAGATTTACAAAACTTGTGAGAACAAAAGGACGTGGAGACTAAACCGCCATAAAACTCAACCGAAGTCTTGAAGCAAACCCCACAATGAGAATCAGATAATTCTCCATTGGGATCAGGGACATCAGATTTCAAACCTGCTTCCCATAAAAGTTTCTCCTTGTTATCAACCAAACAATCTGAAACCTGCATCGAGTCCCATCGGAGATGCATGAGAAGTACGGTCGCATCGGAGTTTGACATCACGAAGATGTTAGAGATATCATCGATCTGCTTCTTCATCTTTTCCTTAACTTCATCTCTTGTTAGAACATGATACGGTCTCTGTTGATCCTTCTCCATTGTTTGCTTGGGATTGACCAAAAAACAGAAACACAAATCAATGACTTTAACAAATACAATATATATATACAAACTTATAAGGAGGAATAGGGTTAAGGCTTACTGGTAGCTTGCGCCTCAATTAACAAACGAATCGAAGGTGAGAGTTATCGTTCCTCGCTCTCTGGTTTTTGTTTCTCTATGATTTGTCTCTAGATTATTGCTGTTTCAACTGTCTAGGGTTTTACTTTTTTCACTCGTCTTATGAAAATATCGAGTTATATAACTTTTTTATATATAAGGAAACAAAATACTCTGTTTTTGTTAAATCTTTCTTTTTAGTTATGTTTTTTAAAAAAAAAATAATTAAGAATTTTGGCCCATTGGACCTTGATATCTTTTTTTTTTTCGTAAGAATTGGACCTTGATATCTAACTACAAAAGGAAAACGTTCGTATTTTGGATATAGTATATTTTTTCAATAAAAGATATTTCCTATGATTAATTCTACATTCCTAAGATGATAAGGATAGATATTGTCTGAAACAAACGACCCATGTAGATAAGGAGAAGAAGGGATGATGTGAAGAATTTGGGACTTCTCCTTGTCCTATAAACATTGAAGCTTCCTCCGTATTGATAGCTGCTTAAGCATCGGCATAAGTGAAGATGTGATCTCACTGTTCATGTAGACGACGCACGTCGCTTCTTGTTCTGCTTTCTGTTCTTGAGAACAAAGCTGTTAGAGCGAGCCAGGGATGGAGAAAAAAGACAAGTACAAGGCCACATCTTTCCTTAGGGAATCTGAGAACATAAGAACCATAAAGGTAGAAGAAACGTTGCAAGTGACAAAACATCTCTTCATATAGGGGTTGTGTCATGTGTGTATGAGTAACTGTGAAATATGAAGAAACAATTTTTACCTCAAGTGTTAGAATCACACTTGAGACTTCTCTGTACAGCCTTTCATTATATATTTTCGACCTTGTGATAATCACTTCAGCTGCACTCTAGGACAAACTGAAACTCTGCACTTGAGCTTTCTGCTTGTGTTTTTCAGTTTTTTTGGGAAAACAAATAGTAGAGCGAGGGATGATAAAAGACAACAGAACCAAATTTTTTCTTATGGATTTTGAGAACATAAGAGCCATTAAGGTAGAAGCAACGTTGCTTACTACAAAGCATCGTAACAGTGAATTATGACGAAAGAAGAAAAAATCCAATTCAAATTGGTAGTCCAATACAAACCTCCTAAAACAAAAAGAAAATGAAAAGAAAAAAGAGTCCAAAGTTCTTCCTGTCTCCTTAAAGTCTTTTGATTATCCTTAAGAAACTAAGTCAAGTGATCAGTCGCTTAGCTTTTCCGCATTAGATGCAGTAGCATCACAGCACATCTTACATGCATTCTGGAACCAAGAGTTGCCATATGTGCAGCGATCGCACAACCAATGAGGGCCACCATAGTTGTCATAGGACTTCGCCTTCACCTCGGACAAACCATCTCGTAAAGTCTTGATGAAATGGTAAAAGTAGTTCCCAATGTTGCTCGCCTCATTGGATAACTTGCTCTTGTCGCAATTAAGCTTCTTGGCCCTTTCTGCTTCCTCCTTTATAGTCTTTGAGTAACTCAAGACAAGGGCTGCTGCGTTTTCTTGTAGGAACCGGAGGTACTCTCTCTTCGCCGTATCATACTCTGTGTGGAGATAGTCGTACACACAGCTCCATTTAAGGAACTGTCTGCACTGAACAACCAGCATCAATCCTTCTCTTATTACCTTAATGTCTTGCTCCATCAAGTCACTCGGAGTCTTGATTTCGGATTCCTCGAATGCTTCTAGATCGGATTTAGCTAGCTCGAGTGAAACCTGACTCGCCTCCCAGAGATCCAAAAAAGAAAAATCCGGTTCGGCTCTGCTCCCAAGATCCGGAGCAACACAGGCTACACCATATCCTGTTTCGTGAGCATCCTCTGGAATCAAACACGTCCAACAGAAACGACCACTAAATCAAGAAAAAACACAAATTAGTATGCTCAATACTTATAAATATGTAATTTATCAGCGAATTTGCAAAACGAATTGTTATAATTAGGGGTGAAACCTGCAGGCACAAGTCACGAACGGTCCCCATTGTAAATCATCAACCTGCATAGGACAATAGCAGTGAGGGCAAGGCTTCGTATTGTTGTCAATCCAGGAGAGGCTCGATACTTTGACTGATTCTTCTAATAAGTTCTTCAAGTGTCCACACAGCCAATCAGTAGCGTTGTTGCATGTCACTGGTCTGTGTGACTCAAGCATGCATCTCCAACAGAAGATATAACCACAGAGACACACCACGTTTAAGCTGTGCTCGTCATCTTCTTTCACCCGATGAAACTCAATCTCGTAACTGCAATAGGGTGCAGGACACTGTTTGATCTTCCATTCCCGGTTCTCCTCACGGTAAGATCTCAGAACATACTTCTGGTACATCTCTTGATCACGTACGGTCAGTTTCTCAATTGTGTCCGGTCCAACCACACCTCGGCAATCTCGCTGAGGACAAGGAATTGCAGCTTTGTTTTCTTCCACAGAGAAGAAGTTCTTGTCAAGATAGTCGCTCCAACAAGTTTTGCAGAACTTGTGAGCACAAAAGGGTGTGGAGATCAAATCATCACCAGCAACATCAACATCAACATCATCAGCATCAACTTTACCATCATCATCAAACTCAAAAAACTCACCAGCAATCTTACAGCAAATCCCACAAGAAACATCAGATGAATCAAGATTCGAATCAGTTGCAACTGCTTTCAAACCTGATTCAGTCAACACTTTCTCCTTGTCTACATCCAAACGATCTGAAACACGAAGCGAGTCCCATCGGAGAGAGATGAGGAGTACGGTCGCATCGGATTTTGATACCAAGAAGATTTGAGAGATATCATCGATCTGTTTCTTCATCTTTTCTTCAACTTCATCCCTCGTTAGAACAGAGTACGGTCTCTCTCCATTGGTCTCCATGGTTTGCTTGAAATCGACAGAGAACAAAAATCAGTGAATAAGAAACGGGAAAAACTTACAAAGGATTGAGAAATAGGGTTAAGGCTTACTGATGGTAGCTTCCTTCCGCCGTAAGCAACAACAAACTTGACGCCGAAGGTAAAAATGAGAATATCGTCTTTTGCGTTCTGTAACTGTGGAGAGATTTTGTTATATCTCCTCTCTAGGGTTTTCCTTTTTTCCTTTATCACTTTCCTTTGGAGATATCGATTTAGCTTCTACAAATTGTTTAATAATCAACATTTTTTTTTTTTTTTGATAAATATCAATAAATTTGGCCCATTGGCCCTTAAATTTTCTTAAAATTATGATATATATTTTAATCACTATAGCCAATAATGGTGCACGTTGATTTTTTCGCTGTGCAGCTTATATTTTATATTTATTTATACTAATTCAACATTATTTTTTTAAATGATTTATCAGGTTGATTGCAAATTAAATACTAAATGATAAAATTTGTTAAAAGTGGATGTTATTAAAAGCAAACCAAATCTAAGTCATTAGTAAAAAAAAATCCAATTCCAACCCATGATTTAATATAAAAGCCCACTAAATCCATAAAAAAAAAAAGAAACAAGGAAAAAGCATAGACCTAAAAATATGTTTAAAGTAAATAGTATTTGACTTGAAAGCGAATTTTATATCTTTGGTCAAAAAAACTTCTTAAACTAAAAAATAGAAAAATAGATTTTGTAATTGACTTGGTGAACACTAAATCTAGTGCATGTGGTGTAGTATTAGACATTTATATTATTTTTTTAATTTGATAGAGTTTACAAACTCAGAAACCAAGTAATGCGATTGGTTCATTTATCATGCAAGTGACGTCAGAAGATTTGACCAAAGGGTACAATGGTCAAATCAAAGGAAACACAATGAGAGAAAAGAAGAGGCAACGGCGACGAACCCGTGGCCCGCACGTCGTGAGGCAGTAGTGAATATATATTGCATTGTGGTTATTATGGGTTGCAGCAAGCAGCAGCGAGGAAAGGCGCGTTTTGTTGCGTTTTTTAGCCCAAATCCCGCCTTTTGCTTTTCACCTTTCGTTTATAACAAGTTGTGTTTCCTCTCTCTCCTCTCCTTCTCTCTTCTCTCTTTTTTCTCCTCTCTCGCTTGTCTCTGCAGAGGAGAAAAAATAAACAAAAATAAAATAATAATAATAATTCACTGGTTCTCGGAGGATCTAGGGTTTCTGATCCCACCTTTGTTGATCTCCGTTCGTTTTGTATTCGATTCCGATTCTCACCTGGTACGGTTTTTGAATTTTTAACTCTTTCGTTTGGATTCGCCTCAGATCTGGAAGCTTTTCTCTTACTTTTTCTTTTTCCTTTTCGATCTCGATTCCTGTGATGACCTGTTCTGTGTTATATGTATATTTCTTCTGCATTGTGTTTGATTTGTGTGTTGGTGTTTCTCTGAATTGCTTGATCTCGTTTAGTTTTTGTGGTTTTTAGAGGAATTTTGGGTTTACACCCTTTATTGTGGAATTGAACAGAACAGAGTTGAATTGCGTTTGAATTTTGATTTATAGGGAAGAAACTAGCTTTGTGGAAGCGGGAACTGTTGACTCATCGTTGAATCTGTGATTGTTCATAGTATATAGAGTTATAGACTTTACTCAATATCTTGCGTATTGTTAAGGTTATCTCTTCTTACGAGAGTTTTTTTTCTTTCTTTCTCTGTTGTGGTTATCTCTGGCAGGTTTCTTGTGGCCTAAAGCTCCTAAGTTTGTTTATGCTAGTGCAACAAGTTAATTAGGAATGACATATTAGCTTTGCAATGATGGAAGTGGGGTTCTCTCTTATTCACTGGTTGATCAGTTCTGGTGCTGACAGTCCCTTCATATTTGGATGGCTTGTCACTGGATCTGTTGGCCTTCTAGCAGTTATCTACACCTTTCTTAAATGGCAGAAAAAAACTTCTTTGAACTGGGTTAAAGCTGCTGCCAGAGAGAAGAAGAAGGTATGGAAAAGACTGAGAGTTCCACTTTCTCATCATCAATGGACGGATGATTATGGCTATGGGCCGCAGCCATCCACTTGCTGTGTTTGTCTCTATTCCCTTGTTCCAGGTCAAAACGTTTCTAATAAGGCTGCTCTGAGTATTCCCGTTCACCGATGTGCTGTGTGCGGTGTAGCAGCTCACTTCTATTGCTCAGGTTCTGCAGCAAAAGACTGCAAATGTGTTGCACAGGCCGGATCTGACCATGTTCGGCATCACTGGTCTGAGCGATGGGTTAATATGGATGATAATGCTGACATGACTGCTTTTTGCTTCTATTGTGATGAACCATGTGGTATTCCTTTCATTGAAGCTTCTCCAATGTGGCACTGTCTTTGGTGCCAGCGCCTCATACATGTTAAGTGTCACATGATTATGTCCAAGGAATCTGGTGACGCTTGTGACCTTGGCTCTCTCAGAAGGGTAATCCTTTCTCCAGTACATGTAAATGTCAATGAAGCAAATGGTGTGGATGGAGTACTGAGTACTATTAGAAACGAGTTGGCATCTCTACGAGGGCAGGTGAGAAGAAAGCGCCATAGGGGCAAAAATGGGAATGGCCAATCTTTGAATGGTAAGCTATTGGAGGATTCAACCAACATTCCAGTGAAAACTGTAGTTAATGGGCTTGTAGTGAAGAAACTACGCAGAGATAGGAGCATAGATTGTTTACCGAAGGTTTCGGACATGCCTAATGCTAAGGGATTGCAAAATAGTTTAGGTGCCCACAAACAAAATAAAAGTGCTGCTTTTAATTTTATGAAGAAGTTTTCCTTGGTTGATATGCCCCCAGATGCAAGACCGCTTTTGGTTTTTATTAATGCCAAAAGCGGAGGTCAACTCGGTCCTTTTCTTCATAGGAGACTTAACATGCTTTTGAATCCAGTACAGGTACCAAATAAACTTCATTTTTTTTTTTCAGAAATCCACTATAGATATTGTACAAACTACAAAGTATATCAGTCTATAGATATTGTACAAACTACAAAGTATATCAGTAGCAAGTGATGGCTTGAAATAGGAATTTTAAAGTGCCTTCCAATTTTATCTTCTTATGTAGTTTATGACGCTTACAAGATTTTTTGCTTTTGAACATATTGAATCTGTTGGGTATAATATCAGTAAGTAATCATTGTTTCGTGAATTACAGGTCTTTGAACTTGGCTCTTGTCAAGGGCCAGACGCTGGTTTAGACCTATATAGCAAGGTGAAATACTTTAGAGTTCTGGTGTGTGGGGGAGATGGAACAGTTGCTTGGGTGCTTGATGCCATTGAGAAGCGCAATTTTGAATCCCCTCCACCTGTCGCTATTCTTCCTTTAGGCACAGGAAATGATTTATCTAGAGTTTTACAGTGGGGAAGAGGTATTTCAGTAGTTGATGGACAAGGAAGTCTAAGGACGTTTCTGCAAGACATTGATCATGCTGCAGTTACAATGTTGGATCGATGGAGTGTTAAAATTGCAGAAGAGAGTACAGGAAAATTTCCAGCAAGAGAAGGCCACAAGTATATGATGAATTACTTAGGTACATTACTGAAGCATCTATGTTTTGGTCCCTGTCGTGGATCATGAAAAATAGCTGACATTTCCCTTGTTTAGGTATTGGATGCGACGCCAAAGTTGCATATGAATTTCATATGATGCGTCAAGAAAATCCTGAGAAGTTTTGTAGTCAGGTACTGCTATTGTGTGTTTTTTAAAAAAACTTTTGTGGTGTAGAACTCAATAAGCAACTTATTTAATAAAAAATATCCCTGATATATTTATCGTGTTTGCTATGCAGTTTGTAAATAAATTACGATATGCTAAAGAAGGTGCGAGGGATATCATGGATCGAGCATGTGCTGATCTACCATGGCAAGTTTGGCTTGAAGTTGATGGAAAAGACATTGAGATTCCCAAGGTATCTTATTCGAATGGAATTAGTCCTTCATTCCCTCGTTCATATGATGTATCTTAACAGGATTTTCCGTATCACTTCCCTCAATGCTGTGCCTTTTTGTTCTTTGCTAAATCGAAATCCCAACCACTACCCATCAAGCATATATTAGAAAAATTGAGCAGGAGAGATAGTTTTTGATTTTGTGGGTTTGGGATAGACATTATCAAAATGGCTTACATTATTGTTATTGCCTTTAGAAACTGATGTGTCTACTTTGTTTTATTTTCAGGATTCAGAGGGTCTAATTGTACTAAACATTGGAAGCTATATGGGCGGAGTGGATCTTTGGCAAAATGATTCTGAACACGATGATAATTTTACCATTCAGTGTATGCATGACAAAACACTAGAGGTGGTATGTGTCCGTGGAGCGTGGCACCTTGGCAAACTACAGGTCTAGTCTTAATTCGAGTTTCTCCTGCTCGTTGTTTGATACCTTTTCAAACCCACAAATGTATTAGTAGTATTCTCTGTTCAACGTGAGGATAAAACACTTATTCAAATTGATTCAGTAACTTCTTAACCTTTTAATTGCTCCTTACAGGTTGGTCTGTCTCAGGCTAGGAGGCTAGCACAGGGAAAGGTCATAAGAATACATGTTTCTAGTCCGTTCCCTGTTCAAATAGATGGAGAACCGTTTATTCAGCAACCTGGCTGCTTGGAGATAACTCACCACGGTCAGGTATATCTTTTTTCTCTCATAAATCATATGGCAAAACCTTAAGACCAGTTGTACATAAATTGGATATAGCAACTGAAGGAATTGGTTCATTTATTTACTACATTAACCAAAAATTGTAATGGGATTACTATTTTTTTCATGTAGTAGTAGCTAGTAGGGATAAACACTAGGTTTTTTTGTAAACCTCCTTTGCATATGTGAAGCTGCAAGTAATGCTAAGAAGAGCATCAGATAACTTATGAAATAAACGATGATCTAAAGGTTGGTTCGTGTGCAGGTGTTTATGCTAAGAAGAGCATCAGATGAACCACGAGGGCATGCAGCAGCCATAATGAATGAGGTGTTACTTGATGCAGAATGCAAAGGAGTTATAAATGCATCTCAAAAGAAAGTACTTCTACAGCAAATGGCTCTCCATCTCTCCTAGAAAAAAGAAGAAAAAACAAAACAAATCAACCTCTCACCAAAATTTTGCTAACAAGAAAAGTTTTAACTTACCAACCCACTACACTAGAAAGACAGCCACGGGTATGAGATCTTTGTCTTCTTAGTTCTTACCCTTAATTTTTGGTTTTTTTTTTTTTTCCACTTTGGTTTTTTTGTGAAGAGAGAGTGTCATTTGTATAGTGTGCCCAATAGAAAGCCATTGAGATTGGCGTCAAAATGTGTTAACTAGAGAAAAAGCTTTGATTATACGTAGTGACATACACTGGTCAGGTCTGTAGGGTTATACAAAAGCCACTGAAGAAGAATACAAAGGCTTTATATATCCATCTCGTTTTCTGATATGAGTTTTTGTTATATTCACATACTATTAGAAATTTAGATTCAGTTCAAGTACGTGTGTGACCCTTAGCCTACATTGTCACATTGTTTTTAATTACCTTAGATATTATTGGTAATTAGTCCCACTTTGGGTGCAATACAATACTAAAATATCTTAGGTAGTTATTCACACAGATACATAGAATCTGATATGCATTCATGCTAGTACGATTGCATTGCACTTAGTGGTAATATATCATATACTATTTTGAAATTGGGATATAAATAAAACAGTTCCTTTCCATCCGACCTCAAAGAACAAAAACAAATATCTACGGAAAGAAACAAAATCATTTTTTAAAGTTTCAGAGCAAAAAATATATATATCAAGAAAAAATTGTAGCCAAAAAGAGATATGTCATTTAATTGTAATATTATCCGAATAACATGTTATTGATTTACACAATAAAAATGTACTTATTATGCTTGGATCAATTTTTAATAATATTAATAATATTTTTCAAAAAAATATTTGCTAGATTATATGGAATCTTTTTTAGTCAATAAAATTTTAATAATCCTCATAAGAAAATATAAATTTTGAATACGACAGTTAAATTGCTTATATTTCAGTTTTCAACTATTTGAAAAAAAAAGAAAAAAAAAAGGAACGGTTATATCTTCTACATGAAGTCAAGATTTTTTCCCTCAAAATCAACTAAACAATAAATTCAAAAAAAAAAATATAAAATTTCAATCCAAAAATTTATATATCATTTATTACTTATCATTATCTTTTTCTTGGGCTTTTTTTTATATATGTGAAATGAAATCTGGACAGTTTTTTTATTTCATCGTCTTTAAAAAGAAAACGTTATATACTGAAAAATAAAAATATAAAAAAGAATCTAAAACCACTCAGCTCTCCGCACCATGTGAAAGGTTGGTGTAGTGGCAAGAACTCTTTCGAATCTGAACGCTTAAGCTCATCAGATACGAACATTTTCCAGAAAATTCCCCATTACCTAATCCCCACAATTCGAGGAACCCAGATATGAAGAGAGATTGCGGTTTCGGAAGTTTCTAACTTTCTTAAATCCAGGTTTTGCTGAGGTTTGTTTACTCTAAACCCCTTTAGATTCAATGTTTCATTTGTGCAAATGTTTTTCTGAAAATTCGTTTTACAAATTCATTGACCCAGAATGCTCAAATCTTGCTCAGATTAGCACATGTTTGATCTCTCATTTCTACAGATCGTTTTAAATCTTGATCTCATGAATTTGTCTCTGTTTTAGTCGGTGACCCATGAGTTCATGAGAGAACAAAAATTTGCTGGTTTTGTCTTTTTATTTATTGTGTTCCTGTTCGTTCAAATCAGTGGTGGGAATTTGGTGGAGAGAGCTTAAACAAATTTGATTTAATGGTTGCTTAATTTTGCTTCTGTTAAAAAAAAAATTAGATTAGTGGCTGCTTTAATCTTCTTATGGTTAAAAAATTGGAGTGAGGGCTGGCTGCTTAATGCTCCTTCTAGTAAAAAAAAAAAAGATAGTGTAATGGCTGCTTAAATCTGCTTCTGGTTAAAAAATTAGTGTAATGGCTGCTTTAATCTGCTTATGTATTGTATATTTTATACACTTGCTAGTGGTTTCTTGTGTTTGGCTTTGGTGCTATCGTTCCTGCTCAGTTACAACCTGAAGCATGATGTTATTGCTTTCAGACATCATTTTGTCATGTCTTTTGTTCACTTTCTGTTGTTTCGATTGATCTCAGCATGTTTTTGACTCTTCTGACATCGAAAGGTTGAGAGTGGATCCATGATCAAATTGATTATATATGATGCATTCTTTTCACATTCATACTATAAAACCCTTATATAAACTTGATCACTATATCAGGATCTAGCTGCTCCATCTTTATGAGTTTATATATTGTCCCTTTCACATGTAAGCTTGGTTCCGTTTTTATATATTGTTTGTTTAAAGTGATATGTTCCGTAAGCTTGTTCTTACTTTCATGGCTTCATGTTGAGAATCTGATGTTTTATGTTTATGACATCTTCTTTTTAAATTTTTTCGTTGCAGGAGCTTGTTTGAAAGAAATGCAAAATAGACCATATCTCTCTTGTTGGTTGTCTTACAGATTGTTTCACTTTCAACGTGATATTAGAGTGCAATACTAGATATTGTGAGGTCCTTTGTTTTATTGGCTCTTGAGTTATCTTGTCTAAATGGGAAGACCTTTCTGTTGTCTATAAGTTGAACGCATAATTTCTGGTGATTTTTTCTGGTCTTGTGAAGAAACAGAATTTTTATTTTTCGGGTTTTGATGGGTAAAGAAAATCAGTTGGAGACGACAAATTGTGGAGTCAATGATCACGATTGTCCACCCGTCAAGAACGAAGAACCAGCCACTGAGGCACGTTACAGTACAGACAGTGACTCGGGCTTACCAGCTTGTCGTGTATGCCATTCTGCAGAATCTGACAGACGAGGAGATGCTGCCTTAGGATTTTTGGGGATTGCTCCTCCGGTTCCAGAAGCACGTAAAAGCAATGCAGAAGAAACCGCTGATGATGTCAGCAAAGCTACGGAGGCTGAGCTGAAGAATTCTGTCGTCAAAAGCAATGGAGTGGAATCAGGCTTCATTGAAATAACAAGTCCTGATGGGGAAGTTTTCATTTGCACAAATGATATAGAAATGGGAATCCAGCAGCACCAGGATGCATTGCTTGAGCTTGGATGTTCTTGCAAAAACGAGCTGGCTTTGGTACACTATGCTTGTGCACTCAAATGGTTTCTAAACCATGGATCCACTGTATGTGAAATCTGCGGACATCCTGCAGAGAATATAAAGACTGCTGATTTCAACAAAGTGGTCATTGCCTTGAGAGATTACACGGCACTAAGAGAAAGAACCGCTGATGGAGGAGACCCAAACGTTGTGTTACCTGTGAATACAGATTCAACCATAGATTCAGATGAAGTTGCTACCATTCGAAGGCAACGACTTAGTGAGATATCATCGTGGTTTGGTCCCCATTCTCTGAACAACAACAATAGTAGTTCTGTTGCAGCTTCTCAGGTTATGCCCGAACAACCTTTAGGTGTTGTCAACTTTGATATCTTACCTATGGAAAGCCGTGCAACTAAATGGGCAGTAGAAGGTACGGGGATTCTACTTGCTACCGGGTTACTCACTGTTACTTTGGTCTGGCTCATTGCCCCTCGTGTTGGAAAGGTATGCAATTTATCTAAACGTGTGTCTCTGACTGGTTCATATTAGTTAACGGTGCCTTGTTTTTATTCACGCAGAAAACTGCTAGGAGCGGACTTCACATTCTTCTTGGTGGTCTCTGTGCTTTAACAATAGTCATCTTCTTCAGATTTGTAAGTAAAATCTCTCTTAAGAAATATCTTCATTCTAATAGATCGGTAATATCTACTTTATACTAATCCCGAGACGCAACAAAACTTGAAAACAGGTTGTGCTCACTAGAATCAGGTATGGTCCTGCACGCTATTGGGCAATCCTATTCATCTTCTGGTTTCTTGTGTTTGGTATTTGGGCTTCTCGTTCGAATGCGTCTCACAGTACCCCTTGAATTCATCATCTTCCTCTACTCTCTTCTCCCCCTCTCTCTCTCTCTCTCTCTCCATGCAGAAGTCTGTGTACTTCTCTTGGAGAAAAAATGTACATTGCTTCATATATATATATATAAGGAAAACAAGCTCATGCTTCATTGAATATGATGAATATATATATGATTCATAATGGTTACAATTACTTTTACAGTTCCTCTGTATCTACTTTGTGATATCTTGAGAGTTTAGACTTTAGACTTTAAACAGTTGAACAAAATACAGAATTACAAAAAAAAAAAAAAAAGTCGAAACATGCTTGCCGAGTGTGATTCACCAGTGGAAAACCCCCCAATTACCCAGAATCTGTTAAGTTGGTTAGTCTCTATGAAATCCAACTATGGAAATCTGAAGAACCCGATTCCGTAATTGCATGACCCGATTTGGTTATTCCGGGTCAGGATCCGACACGGTGTGGTGGTCGAATACTCTGAAAAGCTTCAATCTTTTGACGCCATTTTCAGAGATCAGCCCTGAGGAGCAAAGCTCATCCAATTTAAGAACGGTTTCTGCTCCGGCGCGTCCTGAAACGGAGTGGCGAAATCGGAGTGGTACGGAAACTGAGGGACAAAAGCGTCATTCTGTAACAGCTCGATGGAACCACCGCCAAACATGGACTTATCATCAAAGGCCTCTAACGCATCTTCGAGATCAAGCCACTTGGGCTCGCTCTGAACTTCCCAGTGATCGGAACACGTGACATCCGGTGATATCACGTGACTTGAGCACCTCGAGTCAGACGTGGTTATCATCGGCGTCGGTTTCTCATCCGCCGGAAGATACTTCTCCATTGTTCCCTTCTTATTGTAAATCCGACATAAAACCCAATCATCAAGCTGCAAAAAATTCAACCAAAACAACTCCTTAAACCACCAGATACTTTTTAAAAATTGAGACTCCAAAAAATAAAAATAAAAATCAAAAAGCTTACTCGCAAGTTGTTCTTCTTGTTGGTAGAAGAAGCAGATCGATCAACATTAGCGAGACGATACTCGTGCATAATCCAATTAGTTTTGATTCCTTTGGGAGCTTTGCCTGCGTAGAAGACGAGTGCTTTCTTAATCCCCAAAGTCTTCGGTTTACCGATCGGTTTATCAGCTCCGGTAGCTTTCCAGTAACCTGTTCCAGCTGCCCGGTTTGGTCTCGAACCGTTTGGGTATTTCCGGTCTCTATGTGAGAAGAAGTACCACTCTTTCTCACCGTACAACGCCATTTCTGCAAAAACAAAAACAATATCCAAATTGAGACTAAAAATCAAAGTAAAAAACCACACATCAAATTTTCTCAACCTCGTGGTGGATTGAGATGTTTACCTGGAAGCTCCCATGGATTGAATTTGTACAGATCAATCTCTGCGATAACCGGTACGCTAATCGGTTCCGATGCACATCTCCGGCAAAGATAGAACTTAACGAGCTCTTCATCCGTCGGATGAAATCGGAATCCCGCCGGCAAATTCAATTCCGCCCTCATTTTTGAAATTAAAAATAAGAAGTTTCTTGCTTTCTCGTGGATAAGATTCGATTTTTTGTTTTGAGTTTATATTTTTTTTAAACCTTCGATGAAATCTTTTTGTGGTTTTATCTCGAAGATTGAAATCGAGGAGTAGAGAGCAAGTCTATGGAGCTTTTATAAAGGAGAGGGGAGGTTCATGCACCACACGTGTCTAGCCTCCTTTCAGACACGTGTGATAAAACCAACCGTTTTGTTTTTTCAACGTTGACCGCGCAGCCAGCTGAGGTTTACACGTGGCTTTTAATCACTGGGTGATCGACATACAGAGTATGTGACGTGATGTCACTGCTTCCGTCATCCCGCGCAAACCTTTTAGTGGCTGCGATCGGGTGCTTCGCGGGTGTAGCAGCGCCTCCACGCACGTCGTTCTCTAGCTCTGGCTAATGAGTGAAACCGTGACTTGTGAGTGGACTACGAGAAGAGTATAACTGTGAGCTTATCCGCAGATGATCATCGAATCGCGTAGGTCATCGAAAAATGGATGACGTCATCTTAGTCGCACGACGGCTTATGTAGTAAACGCAAAAGCTGAAAAGATACGATCAATCGACTGTTTCGTGGACCAACATTTCCTTACACATAAAACCACATTTTATATTCATAAGAAAAACAATGTAAGATTTTTGAATATTTTTGCTAAATTGCTAATGTGTTTATGTGCGTTTCTTGAATACTATTGTAATATGCCCATTTTAGGGATTTCGTTATGAAACAAAGTTTGCCGACGAATAAATTTTTTGTAAAAGGTGCAGATACAAAGATATTTTATCTCTGGCTATATCTGTTAGCAACAACAACAACAAAAAAAAAAAAAAAAAGTGTAGACAGAGACATTTTATGAGCCGAAAAAAAGAGGTAAAGAAGCCAGGTGTAAAAGCCCATTGGAGCGTTAGCTAAATCTTACAAACCCAAAAGAAGGCCCAGTTTATCTTTACGTGAAGGCTGTGCTGTAGTGTTGGGTCCAAAAGTCTTGTCTTCCAAGTTCCAAATTCCATTGTCGTATACGCAAAACCTCAATCATTACCTTCGTTTCGACTTTTTCTCAAACTTTTAGTAATTAGTCTTTTAGAGCTTTCTTAATCGAATTTACCTTTTTTCCTTTGACAATTTTTTTTTGTCGATATAGTGTTTTATTTAACCTTAGTAAAATCTTGAACTGTAAAACAAAATACAATATGTTAAAAAATCAATCTTTGTATTCAACTTACTCTAATTAGCGTTGTTGACTTGGCCAAATAAGATATAACAATATACGAACTTAACACTTCTGGTCAGTTGATCAGAACTAGCAAGTTTGATGAACTTCTCTGACTCATAGTTTATTAGTAGAAGAAGTTCAACCCTATAAAAAAATAAAAAAATAATAATAATAAGCCAACTCCAATTTAAAAGGGGCATTTCAGTAAATGAGTAAGTTAGAAGAATCGTAAGACAAAGGCGAAAGAAAAAGCATAATGCCATTTCCAGGGCTTATATAACACCATAACAGAGGATCCATTCTTTTCCCAATTATTGCAAAGTCAATTCGATTTGTATATATATATATATACAAAGCAGAGCTCCCCACATCTCAAATCTCAAAACGCCTACATATACATTATTAGTAGTCACACACTTGTTTATCAAATCATAAACACTTTCTTTGGATTTATATAATGCAAAAATACATACACCCACATGCTTGATGTGTGTATATAATCAGTTAATCACACGCACATGTTCGAACATTACTAACCATCAGTAAGAGGAAGAGAAGGGGAAGAGACATGGAGTCAGGTCGGGTATTGGGGTTGTGTTTGATTCTTCTGGGAACGGTTCTTGTATTCTCCGGCTCCGATGGTGCTACGGCGGCGAAAGGGGTAACATACGATGGACGGTCTTTGATAATCGATGGACAGAGGAAACTTCTCTTCTCCGGTTCCATTCACTATCCTCGCAGCACACCCGAGGTAAATGTTTCCATCATCTTTATAGTTCATTACATAATTAGATATGTGAGTTTAATGTGATGTTTATGTCCTAATGAACATTTCTGGCAAACCTTTTTAATCCCCTCCCCCCCCCCCCCCCCCCCCCCCCCCAAAATAAAAATAAATAAACATATTTTTTTGGCAAATGAAAGTTTTTATAAAAGGAAATAAAAACATATTTTTGGCAAAATGAAAAATAAATATATATGGTTGGACCATGACCTTGTGTCATATATCATCTATTGATGTAATATGACAAAACTCATCTATCAAAAAGAGAAAACTAAATATACAATACAATGTGACACAATGCGTAGTGTAGTTTTGGATATATATGAAACTAAAGCCGTGTGTTTTGTTGATAAGATCAGTCTCAAACCATATATATATGGTAGAGATATTGCTTGATAACTATGTATCGTGTCGTAGTCGACCCAAGTATTATTACGTAATGGACATATCACATATATATAAATCTTTTGGTAGCTAATTAATAGCTACAATATATGTATATTATATAGGTTAGTAAGTCGTGGCATTTGTATAACACAAACTTTTTGTAACCGAATTCTGTTTTCACGAGTTTTCTTTGAATAAATGAGGATTTTGGTTACACTTTTTTGTTCATGTACTTTTTGTTGCGTGGGGAAACTCCTATTTCCGCTAAGTTACAAAACTTATTTCTTTCGTGAATATTTTTGAGAATTTGCTTTCGTTTCTTTATTAAAGTTTGAGACTTTTATTGCAAGGATAGATGTTAACTAGGCTTCCACCTCACGGATAAATAGACAACTAAATGACTAATCACAAAGTGTGATATTTATTTAGTGGATCACATCACACACATTCATGATTTCATGTTATATAGTCACTTTATTCCTTCAGATTTAACTTATTTTGAGCATTTCTAAACACCAGGTTAATCTTCCTAACCCAATCAAAAAGTTTTATAAATATCATTTTTTCATCAATTATATTTTCTCCAAAAAAAAAGAAAAAAGGACATGCATTACGTTTTGAAAACGGAATTGATCTGTCAAATATTAATTATTTTTTCATATATGTTTTTTATTTTTATTTTATTTTGGGTTCACAAGATTTGTTTTAACTTCGCTTTCAAGATTAAGACAGAGATATCATCCAAACACAACATCTTTTGACTCCTTGACTCTGCACTGGTCACGGGTCTCAAAACGACACCGGTTTTGGTTCTTTTCATGTCATTCCTTTCTAATTCTGTCAGTGTGTTTACCTCTTCAACACTTTTTCCAAGTTACCCATTTATCATTTAATTATTTAACACTACTAATAAATCAAATAATTACGGCGATTACAATAAAAAAACGTATAATTGATATATTATTCATTCATTTCTGATCTAATTTAGACACAGATCCGTTGTCTGTGCTTTTTCATTTAATGTTCTTCTCATGGTTTCGATAATAATATAATTAAAAATTCGAATAAAATAAGCGAACAACTTAATCATTCTATTAATTCTATCAAATGAAAAAGTCAAAATGTCACCCAAAAAAAAAAAAACACAATTGAAACTAAAAATCGCATGTAAAACAAATAATGCTGTAACTTAAATGTACATGTGATGATCATTGATTCTGTATTTATGTGTCCTATATACTATCATTTGGTCTTTGACAACTTTAACACAATCACGTGAACAAATCTCGTTTCATCAAAATCTCTAAATCAATGAGATCCAAAGACAGCCAAATTTTGTATCCTTTCATTACAAAAATGCATTTATCATTTTAACTAAATGAATCATCGAACGGCTTTTGAACAAAAAGTAATTTAAATAAATAAAATGTAAATTTTGGTTATATTCTCTTCTGCGTAGATGTGGCCATCGCTGATAAAAAAGACAAAGGAAGGAGGCATCGATGTGATCCAAACGTACGTTTTCTGGAACCTCCATGAGCCTAAGCTCGGTCAGGTCGGTATAGTTCCATAATTTTCAAAAAACATTTTTCTCAATATGAATTTTTCGTTTTATGTTCTATATATGGTTATGAAATTGTAACATATAACTTATTGGAATTTAAATGAATATTTTTGCAGTATGATTTTAGTGGAAGAAACGATTTGGTGAAGTTTATAAAAGAGATAAGATCGCAAGGTCTCTATGTCTGTCTACGTATTGGACCCTTCATCGAAGCCGAGTGGAACTACGGGTACTTCTACTACTACTAATCATATGACAATTATTATTTTCTTATAACGTCTTATGTTTATAGTCAACACGTATATTTATCTTTTAATTTGATTCTGATTACCGGATTGGTCTGGTTCTCCAGGGGATTGCCATTTTGGTTACTGGATGTACCCGGTATGGTATATCGAACCGATAACGGACCCTTCAAGTTCCACATGCAGAAGTTCACCACTAAGATCGTGAATTTGATGAAATCTGAGGGCCTATATGCTTCCCAGGGTGGTCCGATTATTCTTTCCCAGGTAACTTTCTTCATCTGATTCTACTTTTATCATGATCGAACCCAACCAAACCATTAGTAACCTTAACCGACCAATGCTTAGAAATACAACCCAATCATGACTTAAATGTTCAAAGTTTTGATAGGCCGCTTTAATCAAGCTTTCAAGGAGGGTATTCTGTCTAATCAATTAATTTTCTATATATGATTGATTACTAGTCGTGATTAGTTGATAATTAATTGAACATTAAGTGGTGGAAACTGGTAACTAATTGATTTTTCTGTTGACTAATAATATTATAACCGGTTTGGTTAAAATCAGACGTCCTTCGGTTATAGTTCTTCTCACAACGAACTGAACTCAATTCAAACCGGAGCCGGAACGGGTTAGCTTCTTTTTTGATGTGAATATGTTTGGGTTCTTTGTGGTTTTAATCGTATAGATCGAGAACGAGTATGGAAACGTGGAGGCGGCTTTTCGTGAAAAAGGAGCATCGTACGTCAAGTGGGCAGGACAAATGGCTGTCGGGCTTAAGACCGGAGTGCCATGGCTCATGTGCAAGCAGCCCGACGCTCCTGATCCCGTGGTTCGTACCGTACCGGTTACTTATCTAAGATCGATGTTTCTTGTATTTCTTTTAGGTTAAGATGAATGTTTTTTTTTATAAAATTTGTAGATCAATACGTGCAATGGAATGAGATGCGGCGACACGTTTCCCGGACCAAACTCACCCAATAAGCCGAAAATGTGGACTGAGGATTGGACATCATTGTAAGGGTTTCCCTGATTGTCTATTTTGTTTTGTTTCCTTCCTTGTTCAAAAAGCTAACTATTTATCTCTGTACATGTAATGATGAAAAAGCTTTCAGGTTTATGGAGGAGAGCCTTATATTAGATCTGCTGAGGATATTGCTTTCCATGCAGCGCTTTTCATCGCCAAAAACGGAAGTTACATCAACTATTACATGGTAAATTACTTAATTAAATAAGTTCTTCATCAAATCATCGCAATATGGTAATCAAGAACTCACAACTATGTTTCCATACAGTACCATGGTGGAACAAACTTTGGGAGGACTTCATCTTCATATTTCATTACAGGATACTATGATCAAGCTCCTCTCGACGAATACGGTTTGGTCTAAAGCTCTTAAACATGTTTTCTGCTTGAACGAACCCGATAATTCGATTATGATCTTTTTTTGTGTGTGTGTCTTTCAGGTCTTTTAAGACAGCCTAAGTATGGTCATTTGAAGGAACTTCATGCTGCGATAAAAGCATCTGCAAATCCTCTGCTTCAAGGGAAGCAAACGATTCTCTCCCTAGGACCATTGCAACAGGCTTATGTCTTTGAAGATGCGAGCAGTGGATGCGTTGCGTTTCTGGTGAACAACGACGCGGCTAAAGTTATTCAAATACAATTCAGAAACAATGCGTATAGCTTGAGTCCCAAGTCAATTGGTATTCTTCAGAACTGCAAAAACCTTATTTACCAAACAGCAAAAGTAAGTCTATCTTTATACTCTTTTTTTGCAAACTTTTAGATCATACTAATTAATAGTAGTAATTGACAAATTTTTAATCATATAAACCGCTTAATTAATAAAGGTGAATGTGGCGAAGAATACGAGAGTTACAACGCCTGTTCAAGTGTTCAACGTTCCCGACAAATGGGAAGTGTTTAGAGAAACGATCCCAGCATTCTCAGGCACATCTTTGAAGACAAATTCTTTGTTGGAACACACTAATTTGACTAAGGACAAAACTGATTATCTTTGGTACACTTCAAGGTAAGATATATATATATATATATATATGAGATATTTGTTACATTTATTATGTCTATTTATCCTTTCTAATACAATTTTGGCTCTTCTAATATAAGCTTTAAACCGGATTCACCTTGCACAAACCCGTCTATCTACATTGAATCATCAGGACATGTTGTTCACGTGTTCGTCAACGGTGCACTAGCAGGTACC